GTTCAGCAGCTGCTAGAAGAGCAGCTGAGCCATCCCTTCTGTGCAGGCAGAAACCACTGTGGTCACCCTCGAATGAGGGCCGGAGGGGCGGATGCAAAGATAAAACACAAGATAGAAAGTGACGTGTTTAAACAGTGAAAACTAATAAGATCATTTAAAAACTGTAACTCCAGAGGACATTCACCATCTACTGCTAGCTTAGGAGCTTGCCCTCTGCTTGCAGACAGTGGAGAGGTTGTTTCTAATGTTGAAATTCTTAATTCCTATCTGGAAGGTGCACTGTACACGGAGTTGTGTCAGCAAGCAATCCGTTAAATATATGCCATGAAATTTCCTGGGTACATAATCTGTATCATTGTAGCAGTACCTCTCTGTGAGTGAACAGGCACACTCTAAATATGTCATTGACTTGCTGGGAACTTATTTAGCAGCGCTTACTCAGAGGTGCTTCCATTCAGGGAAGCTAAAAACGTAGCTGTAATTTCTCCCTAACTCCAGCTTGACAGCCTCTTTCCTTCTTCTTTCAAGCGTTACTTTGAATGGGCATATTCTGTTATGAAGTATGATATAGGCCCTGGAGACCAGCACCTAAAGGTTATAGGAAGAGGTAAGATGGAGAAAACTCAAGCTGGTCCATCTCTATATTGCCTCCTTTTCTGCTCCAGATCCTGCTCTTTTTCTAACAGGTGTATTTTTTCCTTTTAGGGAGATTACATCCTTTGTAAAGGATCGTTGTTTATAATAGCATATTGGAATTAACCATTCACACAGTAAAAGCATGATTCAGATTTCCACCATTCATGCTGTTTGACAGACTAGTAACAGTTATCGCTTCCTTTCCTAAAATAATCCTCTTCTCTCTTACTCTGCTTCCTTCTCACCACCTGCTCACACTAAATGAGAGTTGTTAAGGAGAATACGTAGCAAAAGTTTTGGTTCTGGCATCTGGGTGCATCTTTAGGGCATTAATAAGAGATTTTTTTGCCTGCATCTGTGAAAATATCAGGAGGGCTTGAAAGTGAGGAAATGGTTTGGGTTTTTTTTTTTGTTTAATTTATTTTTAAATTATTGGGAAAGAGCATCATCAGGGAGCTTTTGAGATTCTGTGATGCTTAGAAAGGCTACTGTAGATTGCAAATACATTTTCTTTCTATATTTGGAGGTGAAGTCACCTCAGAAGAAAATGAAGACTGTTTCACTTGTTGAAACAAGTTAACCCTGTTTTTTCTCAGTCGCATCTATGACTGCTCAATATGAAGGTTTCTCAGAAAAGATTGCTGAAAGCAGGTCAGAGATGAAGATGCTCTTTGCGAATTTTTGTTCTGTACTCACCTTGAGTCACTAGCATTGAGAAATTTTGTTTTGTATCCAGTCGCTTGGTCTAATCAATGAGAAAACATAGTTTGTACCCTCTACCCACCCTAAATGCTAGCATGCTTGCTGGTTGCTGCTTTTGCTGATCTAATAGTTCTAAACAACAGTAACGTGCCATGTAGATGAAGAGCTCTGGTGGAAGGATTCTGCAATACAAACAAGCAGCCAAAAGCGAGAGGAGAGGAGACAGGGACTCCTTAAACTACCTTTGTTACTGACAAAAGTGTCTGGAACCACACAATTAAAGCAGCTGCATTTCTTTTTTCTTTCTTTTCTTTTTGTTTTTTTCCTTTGCCGCCTTTTTTTCTTTTTTCTTTTCTTCTCCACCGCCCCCACCCCCCCCCAAAAAAAAAAAAAAAACAAAACCCACCACAAACATACTCCAGTTTCTTAACTGGAGAGAAGATAGCCACCAAGATCAAGGACAATCTGGGTAAGCAAGCCTTGCACCTTTTAGGAGCTTCTACACAGTCAGCTTTGCATATAGTGTCTACTGCACGTCAGTGTCTGTTCACCCTTGCATAGCTCTCTAGCTCATCTTCCAAACTTTTGTGCTGGAGCCATCTTCACTTCATCAGAGAACTAACTGGCCTTTAGTGCCTTTAGCTCTCATTGTAGAGCATTAATAGCTGTTACTTAGCTGCCAACTCGCGTC